TGGTAGGCAATCTTACAAAGAGTGACTTACGAGCTGCCAACCCAACATATTCACCATACCTCTCTTCACTCCCTGTTAGGAACAACGGCGGGGGAAAAGACGTTTTGTTGAGCGTCATTTCCCGCGTTTAGAAGGGTGCTGATGACGAGAATGGAATTATTTTATCCCCCGATCCAGGCTTGAATCACGGTAAGGCAGATTTCGATCAGAATAGAGGTCCTCCAATGCTGACGTCACGAACTCACTGAGTGGCAAAACCGCGCGAGAATTCGAATACGGAGACGGCGGTGGGTCAGGGTTTATTCGGGTATGCGAACACGTAGGGGGCTGACTGAGTTTCAAGACTCATTATCACGACTCAAAATATATTTCCTGTAACCAAAATCTGCGATTTATGCGTCCATCTCTTAAGACATTGTCAAACACCGGCCCCGGCGCCGACTCCAGATTCAAACTCCCCGCGCTCCCGCCACTCAGTGAGGAAAGTGAGGATGGCCCGGTATGGCCTCTATTTTTAAATCCGACGACAAATCTTCTACCACTGTTCGTAGAATTCCTCTTAAGGAATTTTGAACATCAAACAACGCTCTTTAAATGAATTTCCAGCGAAATAGCGAAAATTAAAGTGGGAGTGGTTTTGGCCGAGGAAGGCGGTGTGAGTGTCACGTGACCAATGGAGGATCTCTATCGAGTACTTCGGAGGAAATCCAGACCGGAAGTCAACGGCAGGAAGGGAGAATTAAAGGAGCGTCGCGCGGCCGTGCTGAGCGGTGGTGGGGGCCGGAAAAGGCAGAGCGGGGGTAACGTGCTCCAGAGCCGTAATAATAGGCTTGGATGCGAAAAAAACAAGTGTTTAAGGGGAGGTTCTGGTGAAAATGTTGCCATTTTCCAAATGGAACCTACAGTCTTAATTTGTTCGGAATATAAAATTTTTCATTGAGGAGACTAAAATTTGACTTTTGAAGGCACACGCCAGGCTGTAAACCCAGTCGAAGAGTCTTTTTGAGCCTATTTTGGCTGTATCTTGAAAAACCTCCTTGCGCATACTATTTTGTTGTAAAAGGTTGACCTTGACATCTTTCACTTCTTCGATTCATTTTCAAAAGATTCCGGCATGCATAGCTCAATACTTCCATTATATTATTAATTATTAGCTTTTTAAGCTGAAAAGTCCCTAAAATTTGTCTATTTTGTACATTTTTGATCAATTATAGTGAAATGCTTGGTTAGAAAGCTTGCGAATAAAATTGCAATTAACATTTTGAGATGTGCATGCCGGCATTTTTAAAAAATGAATCGAAGAAGTGAAAAATGTCTAAGCCAACCTTTTACGACAAAATAGTATGCGCAAGGAGATTTTTAAAGTTATACCCTAAATGGGAGAGAAAGGTTCTGCGACTGGGTTCAGGGCGTAGAATGTGCCTCCCCAATGAAAACTTTTAATAAATCCTTGATAAGACATCAAATTTTCAACAAATTTTCACAGTGGGATCTATATAGTAGAAAATAGCATTTTCACCAGAACCTCCCCTTAAGCTTCAAAAGTGCAGTTACAGGCGTCGACGCCGGGGTCCTGGCTGATTACCTCATTACACCTTATAAAAACCTTCTATTTCGCAAGGAAATACCAAATTTGCTTGTACGTTACAGACGCTGTATGGTGTAAATAGGTCAAATGAAGCGGCAAACATGACCTTGTCCCAGTATTTGAAAATGTTTATCCGGGGGAGGTCGAAATTACGCGTTGGCGATTACAGGTTTATGATAGCGAGTTACGGCAAAGCGACCTATTATCCTTGATTTGAACCTAACATACTCCTGTAGAAGTATTTCCACCGTTGCAGTTTTCTTAAATATCAATTTCGAAGCCGAATAGGGTTCGCGCTTGGGTCGGTGCAGGCACAAAACACGTTTAGAGCCGCGAAATACAAATGCCGGTAGCAAGTGACGCAATTTGCGGTCAAAACTTTTCTTCCACTTTACGAACGAACGAATCGATTCACCGTTTCGGGACTGAAGTTAAAATGTAGATTAAAGTGTCCACTCTCGAAAACACACAAAACTTTGGGTGTTTTAACGGCGTTATAAGAAATTAGACCTCACATTGCGTTTCAATCGGGGATTCGGACACCGACAAAACTGCCATTTTTGTACCTTTCCGGCGCTATATGTGGTGCATGCAACAAGTCAAAATTTTTGACTGAAAACATGTACATGCCTTTCTCTGAAGGTGCTCTGTTGTTAAAGGGATATTTGCTGATAGGAAGTCAGTGCAAGTCGTAATTGAGCTAAATATCTTTGATTTTAAAATTTCCACATTTTGACGAACCAACCCATTTACGTCGTGCCTGTTCATATCGCGGCCTTCGCTTTGTCTAAACTATCATTGGTCCAAACAAAAGGCGGCCTTTTTCCTCATGTGCGCGGGTCGAGAGCCCACGGCAGACCCGCAGGGGAGAGGGGCCTGAGTGGACAAAAGGCACGCACGTTGCCGGGGCTCGGGGGAACCCCAGGGCAAGCTAGTCCCAGCCATAAACGATCCATGCTGTGGGGCCTTGTCATGGAGTAGCAGGTCCCATTCTACACTCCACTGAGCTTCAAAGCTTGGTGAGTGCGACGTGGCGAATATTGCGAGGTGGTTTCTCTGAATCAGCAGATTCATGTCTACAGGTTATTGACGGTTAGTCCTTCATAGTTGTCAAAAAGTTCACTCTGCTTTGCTAGAAAAAACTTCGGAAATGATCGTTTTAATTCAGGCACAGCTTCTCTCAGTACCCGAAATCACGGTGGTCTCCGTACTTTTAAAGTACGCACACTAAATTCTTATGGACTTCTTAGATACATGGTTTTCCCTTTTTTCATAGTTATGCATCTTCCTGCGTAAAATGTACACAGTGATGCATAATATTATGCATACCATATGGACGTATCTGTGCATGCCCAACTATGCATGAAAAGGCCATAAGAATTTAGTGTGCGGAAATCCTCCGTTAGCTTTTTGTCATTCATCTCTCCGTTATACGATCTCCAAATGCACCAGTAACTGAAAACGTCTCACCAAGATCTATACGAATCAGGGTTAAAACAAAGCTCTCCGTCAGCTCCATTTCGCCAAATTCTGATTTGTTAAAAATGGATCTTAAAAACACGGGGTCGTCTTCAAATTTATTTCTCGTTCGAAAACAAATCGGTAAGACTTTTTCAACGAATGCTTGGAACCTGGTCCACGATGCTCACGCATCGTCGTCGGGGACCTACGAGATGGACAATTCCATGGGGCGCTACCACATTAGATATTTTTGACCCGTTCGGTGTACTTAAAATTAATACCGGAGGGCATATTTACACTGTTCCGTCGTCCGGCCGTCCGAGGACTTCCTGTAGTCCGATCTACACCAAATTGGGTATGCAGTCTCCTTGGGTGACCCTAACAACCGCCCGATAGCAGCAAATCCGATCCGAGCCCCGGGGGCACTGCTATAGGTGCATCATGGTCTACATGGGGTCGAGAAGGATTTCGGCAACGGATTCGGCTAGAAGGGCATGTATGAGTACTTTTGTAATTGGGGCGACGAGTCAAAGCCAACATTGCTAGTTTGGAGCGAATCGGAGAAGTTTGGACCCGGGTTCAAATCCTTGTACTCTACAAACTGAAGTGTGTACTCAGTATGCATCTACAGATGCATACTTCGAGAGGTTAGGTACGCATCTGTAGGTGTGTACTCAGCCAAGTACGCCTCTGTAGATGTGTACTCAGCTGAGTATGCATCTGTAGGTGTATACTTGCAAGTATGCATCTTACACACTTCAGTTTGCAGAGTAGGGTATATTCCGACTTCTTTTTTTCTTTACGGATTTCCATTGTTTCTCATGTTTTGAAGGGCACGATGACGAAAATAACATCTATTTTAAACCCTCGACTCAGTTTCAAACCCCGTTAGGGTTACGCATGAGCGAAATTCTCACATTTCTAAATGTATGGGACGAGCCAAAGTCGCCGATGTGGATCGTTACTTTTCCTCTCATTTAAAGGAAGAACAGCGGATTCCGTTGGGAGCAGGACAGCTCGTCCCGACCAACTCGTCCCCCGTCCCACTCGTCCCGGGCCTATCTCGACCCGGGGCATTTTTCGAACTCGTCCCGACGGGGCGGCCAACTCGTCCCGAACCATTGTTGGTTCCAGCCCGGTCCAGCCAGGAGCCGTCCAGGCCGGTTACTAGTAACTAGTACATGCAGCACAGCGTGGTGAAGCTTACACTCTAAATCACTACGGAGCTTCTTAATGCATAGCTTTTACGCAGGATTGAACACGCACAAAGACAGAAGTGCTCCAGGGCGCTCCAACAATATCAGCTTTCGGGCTAGAGGCGCTTCTTTCTCTTTCTGCCTTCCTGGCACATTACTGAAAGTGGATAATTCGATAAGATATTTATGTTTGAGAAACTTGTAAGAATGTGAAACTGTAATACCGAAAATAAAAGTTTTAACACAGTGGCCGCATATTGGGTTTCAAGTTAAGAATAAGGAAGATTCCTGAAAGCAGAATTATGTTTGGCGCACCCTAGAAAACATTTGTTTTTGTTGGAACGACGCGAAGCAGCTATTCGTAGGACTCATCGTAAAATACGGCCAATTTCAATTAATAACAATTTTTCGAAATATATAATTATTGGGACGATTTAGGACGGGGACCACTTGGGTTGGGACGGGATAACCCTGGGACGTATTGTGCCGGGTACGAGTCGGTCGGGACGAGTTGTCCTTGACCCATTCCGTTCTATCAAACACGGTGATTTCCGTGGTGGTACGAAGAGAGAGGCTGTGTTTGAATTAACAGAACTTTCCGTAGTTATGTCTCGCAGTGTCGGCGAAACGCCAAGGCCTGCTCAACACGCGGCTGACGTGACTTGGCTCACGCCAGGACGACTCATTCCGTCCGCGCTCGATGCCATCATCGATCTGACCGCCTAGGCGCGCCTGTGCTCTAGTGATGGGAGAAGTCGACGCCTCCTAATAGAATAATCTCAACTGCCAGTTTTCATTTCAGAACTAACCTCACTGCACACGACGTGAGAAGCTATCTTTTTTGCGTGACGCAGATACCACATGAAATTACTTGCCGGAGGACTAGTTACAAGGTAGGTGTACACCGGACCGTGTCTTGTCGTATCAGCCTTCGTTATACTGCGCCAAATACGACGATCCACGCCTTGCGGGTACATCCACCTTGGCCTCAAACGCTCGGCCAATTTTCCAGACTGCCATGCTCATCGGATTGATCGCAAGCATTCAGCTTTAAGTGCCGGGGAGCACCTTTTGAGAGGATTCGCTGGTCGGAATGCATGATAGTATATTTGATTCAGGAATCGGAAGAAGGGGATAATTAGACTTATCTCCAAATTGAATTTTTATCTTTATTGTGCCTCAGGATGGTTTGCATCACTACACCAAACTGTTTGACCCAATTCCTAACAGTTAGGAGAAAGAAAATTCGCATTAAAAGGATAGAACTCAACTTGACCCCTTTAGCGGTCTAAATATTATCGGTAAATGGAGGTAACTGAACCTAAGTCCACATGACTCCATTGCACAAAATGGCAAAAGGAGATAACTCAACTTGTCTTTATGAATCTAATCTTAAAAGAATCAACTCAACTTGACTCCTCATCACTCGTTGAAAAAAAGAAGTACAGTATTCTCCTGCACTAGGTCGATTCACAATAAGTCGTTTTCATGTGACGGCCCCGCTTACGCACGGGGGTTTATGGCCCGGCGAGCTCGACCCTCGGGGATGATTGACAGGGGTTCTTTGTGCCACCAGCACGAATACGCGCGCTGACGGGGCCCCGAACCGCAGTGCCGACCTGACCAGGTAGCGTGGACCCGTAAGGCGCCGGTCGGCGCAGCGTTTCGGGTCACTGCAGTGTAGAACCCAAGGGCCGGCTATTGGTTTTATGGCCTTCCCGAGCTCGGAGCACTGCCGGAGCCCGGCCTTCCCACCATGTGCTGTTCGGTTCTCGTGTTCGTTATAGTCCGAGATCCGATCCCGAGCCGTCGACCTATTGCGGGAGAATATAACACTAAAAATGTACTAGTACCACAGAAATAAGGACTCTATGCGGACCTCAGTTTCACTTGAATTGTCTCTAAATTCCGCCTTGTTTGGGAGAACTATGTAAACATGGTTCCGTAGTCCATTCCAACATAAATATTAAAATCACAGAAACCGTCTTCATAGTGATGTTACGCTAGTTACACGTGATTGTGTCAGTTATTTGTTTTCTTGACAAAAATGCAATTGCATCATTCATCTTATTGGATTAAGTTTACTTGCAAACAGTTTTTTGATTCTCCTGAAAAATAATGAAAATTGAGTTATCCCCTTCTTCCGCTTCATGGATCATTGGGGCTGACAACCTTGAGAGACGTAAGATGCAATGCAAAAGAGGGGATAAAGGTCCCGGTCGAGGTCGGTTCTATCGGGGTTGGGGGTCGAAAGCGCTTTCACTTTCGTCATCAGCACCTTCAAAAGCATAGAAAACGACATAATACTCCGTGTAACAATCGGAACAACTGAAAAGTTGTCTTTTTATAAGTGATTTACTTGTTGGCATAACTGAATGGTCAGAGATTCAAAGCTGAATTTTGGCGTGTGGCGAGCCAAGGGCATACCCACCGGACCCTGCAAAATCTCTGCCGGATCAACCGAGCCCTGTAGGGGTAGAAGTCTGGACGGACGGACAGTCCAAGGAACAGAAAAAGTCAAAGAAACGGACTTAGTTTTTCAACCTCGCCCGAGTATACTGCAAATCTATCGGCGTGACTTCGTTCCGCTGCAGGGGCGTTGATTTAGTGTCAAGGCAAGAAGACGGAATGACTTTTCTCTTTAAACGCATTGTACGCACCAACGTCCAACGTACATGGTACATTCACGTGGGTGAGACGGAGACGCACACATCATGCCGTGTCCGACCATTTAACTTTTAGTGTAAAGGGCTATGCTATCGCTCAGCCAAAAATGTTCCACCCTCATTGTATTTTTCAGATATTGCGATTCACAGAGCCCGTATTACGTAACGGTCGGTGGACACATGACCACACAATGGCGTGACAAAAGTTCACGCTTAAATTTGGCGCTAAATGAGACTCGCGCCTAAAAACGGCATGATTTGTGAGTCACACCATCATTTGGCGTGAATGAAAATGCGTTATATGAAAACATTTACGCCAAAAACTGGCATGTCAAGACATTCACACCGAAAACTGGCGTGAATTTTAGAGCCACGCCGATTTTTGACACGACCTTTTCACTGAGATTCCAAACGCTATGAGTGTAGCACGCGCAATGCATTTAGAATTGCACCATACGCGCAATGCCACAGCCATATTGCCCCTTACGTGCAATGAGTCCCGAAAAAGCCCTATGCTAAAGCATGGGAAGGCGTTGCACTTCACGTGCAATGCAAAAGCATTGCACTAATTGGGGCAAGGAAAACGTCTTCAAATGCATTGCACCAATTGGCGCAACTCATAGCGTTTGGATTCACAGTGTTGTTATGCCGTATTTTGACGTGACACTTAAATTCACGCCCCTAAAACGGCACGAAGTCACGCCGATGTACATTCAGTCGATTTCAACTGAACTTAGTTTATAAGCAGTTTTGGCACCCTGTACCCAGAATAGGATAGATAGACCAAAAATTCTGACACTGTAAATGTCTTACGGGGACAGGGTGCACCAACATTATGGGGACATTTTTCCCCCTAATACCAACAAATTTTTCAAAATTTCATAAGTTCTGTTAATTTTCAATGGTTTTTTATGAAGTCATCTGCACTTTTTTACCATAATATGGAGAAACTTCGCTGGACAGCATTTAGAGTGGACCGAAAGGCAGGAGCCCCATCTCGGGCCGGGAAAATAATTCAGGATAACTTTTTGTGGCGCAACGACTCCAGTGACGAAAGAACTTTTTAAAAAAGGGGTTTTATTTCCAATTTTTATGATGACACAACTTTAAGGGGGACAAATTTAAAAAGAATTTTAAAAAGAAATTTGGTTTAACCAATTGTTTTTTTTGGGGGTAAAAGTTTTGGAGGTCTTGGCCCGGTTCATTTTTGGCCCCCCCCTGAGTTTGGGGTAAGGGTTTTAAAGGGGGCTGAAAAAGGGGGTTTTTAAGGGCCAAAAAAATTTTTTTGGGGAAAAACCAATTTTTCCTTTTGGCCCCCTTCCCCCAGTTTTTAGGGGGTCCATTTGACAACCAAAAGCAAATTTTTAAAATTTTTCCCCAAACCGACAAACCGGCCCCAATGGACAAAAGGGACAAAAAGGGGGGAAAAGGGTGGAAAATGACGGTGGCCTTAAAACGGCTTTAAAGGAACTTTCCCAAAATTTCCCCCTTTTTTTGGGGGTTCAAGGTTTTGTAAAAATTTAAGGATAACCCGAATAAAAAATTTTTAAAAAGAAAAATAATTTCCTTTCAAATTTTTGGCCCTTTTAAAAAAAAAAAGAATTTTCCTTGGCTTTCGACCCGGGAAAAATAAAATAAGGGTTGGGAAACAAAAATGACGTTTGAATCGGAAAACAAAAAAAAAATAAGTGAAAAAAATATACAATAGATAACAAAACAAAATCAATTACAAAATAAATTGAAAAAAAAAAAATATAAGTCAGCGGAACCGATAGATAAAAAAATATAATTGGACCGAGAACTACATAAATTAAAGGGAAAAAGGGTTTAGCAAAAACAAAACAAATTATAAAAAAGTAACAAAACGATAAGGGGACAGAGACCCAGGTATAAAAAAAATTTTATAGACAATTATATTACTCTTACAGGCGGTACTTGATATTTTCCCGGCTGTTTCCTGGTTTTTTGCGGTCTTGCTCCAGGTGGTGTCATTTCATTTCTTCCTGGTTAAATTCACCAGAGGGGCGCCCTCTTGCTTTCCTCTGGGACGTGGATTTGGGTCCTGTTTTTGGGGGAGAGGGGGTTTCTTGGAGTCTGAGCGGGGGTTTTTGCAGTCGTAGGTGAGGTTTCCCCATAGTCCTCATTAGTGAGCCATCTTAACTGCGTCTGTGGCCCTTGGGTTGGCACCAGCATACTCGTTACGTCTAAAAATTTTCCAGCTGTCTCAACATTGTAACTTTGGTTCTTGAGAAATTTTCCCGCGACAGTGCCAAATAATTTTAGTCTTTTATGAAAATTTTTACCCGAGTTGAGAGGAGGTAGTTCCTTTGCCCCTTGCTGTGTCATGGTGTTGTTTTTCTGCCTTTGGGAAAATTCTCTTGCTTTTCCTTGACTTTAGAAAATCGGCCACTCCGGTATGGAGTTCACTGGGAAAACAGGAATGCAGTTCGGAGTTTTTCCCGCCCAAAAATAGTTGTGGGGGTGTGGCCACTTTGAGTTGGAGTCTCTGTGGATAAAAAAACCATCAGTAGTCATCTTTCTTCAGGATGTATTTTTCCTTGGGGACTGCTGCTTCGGGTTTTCCATTACTTCTGGGGTATTTGGGGGGTGCTAGTAACGTGAGAAATGTCCCACGATTTACAGAAGCTTGCAAAATCCCATGCATTTAAAAGGCGGTCCGTTGTCCGTTCTCAAGATTTCGGGGACCCCAAACATGGAGAATAGCGGCTGTAGCTCCCTTTATGACTGCTGAGGTATCCGTTTTTTCATTTGCATGGCGAAAAGGGTATGTGGAAAAAAAATCAATGACGACTAGATACTTCTGACCTGCGTGCTGAAGAAAATCCGCTCCCACCCTCTGCCAGGGGCGTTGGACTGGCTCAGTAGGCATGAGTGGTTCATAGTGTTGTCTTCTAGTTGGGACGCAGGTGTCGCAGCCCTCAATCAGCCTTGTCAATTCCTTATGTGTGGTGAGCGGGATCCGATTGACAGACACAAGTTAGCTTAGGTGTTTAATGGTCGAAATCCAAGACAGAACTGACTGAAATGACAGGTACGGTACAGTGACAGGTCGGACTGACAGGTGGTGCCATCTAGCGGCTATAACTGGAACTTACTTCCCAAACACACCACTCTACAAACTGAAGTGTGTACTCAGTATGCGCCTACAGATGCATACCTAGCTGAGTACACATCTACAGATGCATACCTGTTAAGTATGCATCTGTAAGTGTATACTTGGGAAGTATGCATAGGTAGTGTGTACTTGTCACCATATAAATGCCCAGTATCAAGTACACATCTACAGTTGCATACTTGGCTGAGTACACATCTACAGATGCATACCTGTCAAGTATGCATCTGTAGATGTGTACTCAGCCAAGTATGCATCTGTAGATGTGTACTCAGCTAGGTATGCATCTGTAGGTGTGTACTTATAAGTATGCATCTGTAGATGCATACTGAGTACACACTTCAGTTTGTAGAGCAGTGCCTTCACGTTCTGACACTTTGATTCTAGACATGCCGGCGGGACGCACACCCACCGTGTCGTGGCTCGCTTCCCTGCTCGTCTTCATCGCTGCCTTGGAGGTCGCCAGGTGTCGTTCTTCAGCGCATGTGAGTTAGCCGAAGGGTTACTCATTGTAAAGTGAAAAAAGTGACTATTTGACATTTTTTAAATACTACGTGTTAGATGTCTCAGTTCATGGGTAGAAGTTCCTTTCTATTGCACAAACTCAAGAGTAGGGCCCAGACTCCTATTTGATTTCTGAGTTATGGAGGTTTAAGTAAACTTTAAGTCGTTTCTCCCAAATTCTCCTCTAGTCACAGGATTATCTACCTAGTCTTCATATTCTGGCAAATATAACTATCTTGGAATAGGAACAAGAAAGCGTTCCCCTTTTTCTTAACATCACCCTTAGTTATTATGAAAACCCCAAAACAAACTTAAATAAGGCAAAATCTCTCAAATTTGAAAAAAAAAATAAAAAAGGCCGCTCCAACGCGCTCTTTTTTCTATGCAAAAAGAGATAATATTGCCAGAATCTGAAGACTAGGTAGGTAATCCTTTGTCGTGAGGAAAATTTGAGAGAAACGACTAAAAGTTTACATGAACCTCCATAACTCAGAAACTAATAGGAGTTGGTGCCCTCAACTTTGGCAATAAATTCACCTAATAGTCGTTAAGTTTTAGCCACAAAATGGACTTGATATTTGTAGGACATACTAGTTTCACTTTACAGTATCCTTAAAATACACGGCGGGACATTCTGAGTTTTTGAGGTTTTGAGTGCTACTGTAGCACCTCATTTAGTATGCTTGATTCACAAGTATATGTCCACCGTATCAGGCAGGTTAGATCAGTGCACCGAATGGTTTTGTGGCGCCAAGTATAGCTGCTTTTGAAATGACTTACTACGAAGATTTGTTCCTCACAATGGATGGTAACTCAAAACTAGTCATGATCGTGATTCTTCTTTCAGTAAAAAGTCCCTCCGCTTTAGTTTCACTGCAGCAAGTGTTACTACTGCCCCCTGAACAGGAAGTCTTGGTTCACAGCAAGGCAAAAAGATGGTCCCAGTCTACTACGACATCGGGGCCTGCACAGACAAACAACATTTCGTCGAAGTCAACAACGTGACCACCATTATGGACGAGTGGGGTGCCTATTACTGCAGCGCAAGCGTCTTGTTCCTCAAAGAAATGAAGAGTGTGTCCAAGGTCAGAAAACCTGGAAAGGGGAGCCTATCATTGTTTTCCTGGCTTTTTCCGTGCCAGACCCAAGCACTGTGTCCTGCGTTAAGTTAAGCTTGAGGACGTTACGCATGAAACGAGTTATAGACTTGATATTCGCCCATGCATTCAGATAGGGGGAATCTGGGCAGATAATCCTGATGCGCTTGATTTTAGGCGTTAATTGATAACGCTTGAAAATAGGAAGTAATACTGAGCGTCAGTTTTACCAGTGTATTGCCCTTGTTGGTTTAATGCGTAAATGTATTCGGACACATACAATGAGGAAAAAAGAGAGTAACGCACTGTGAGCGAACCGGTTGGGGGCACTGAAAGCGGACTCGCCCTTCTGGCTCGCCTTAAACCTGGGCAAGGAGTGCGCACTGCGCAGCTCAGTTGATCCGTGGAGCGGACGAAAATGACTTAAAAGTCATCTCTTCAGGAGGATTAAAAAGTTGCAGTGTACCGTCAGGGGAGGTAACTAAGGATACAGGGGGTAGTTCCGGTCCACACTGTTATTTATAACGTGTTAAGTTTCATACAATTAGCCACGATAAAAAGGCTATTATGATTCCTTCAAACTATCGCATCCATGGTAGAAAAAAAAAAAAATTATCGCATTACAAATGCAATAAGTCTCTTAGATTTTGGCCAGTCTGGGCCCAGATTATCTCAGTTTTGGTGTGATAAAGTGATAACTGCGTTAGATAGGTGATTAATACGCTAATGCAATACAATATTTATCGCACTTACAGTGCAATAACCTTTGCACGCAGTCAATAAAGCAATAAAAATGTTATTGCTTTTTAAATGAGTTCATTATTTCACTTAGGAAACCTGTGCAGCTGCGGTCTGCAAGGACCGGCAAGCACATCCGAGTACCACTAGTTTCGCTCGGTGTGGGAGCGTCATAGAGGATTTTTAAAAAATGGGACTCCTACAAGCCAGAAAAGAATATGAAGCCCTCTTACTGAAAACAAGGTAGCTAAAAACCCCAACTTTGTTTGGGGAATGGGGACTCGTTCTTTACTAAACGAAAAAAAAGCTGTTTATAAAAGTTGATAATAGTAATGAACATTATTGATCGACATAAAAACCATTTGTGATCATTGAAATTGTGAAAATATGATGAGAAACAAAGACGATTTTAAAACAAAAGATGGTTGCCATTGTTTTCGACTCGGTTTTCTTCAAAACATTTTGTTATTTCGTCATAATATAGGAAAATATTGTCATGTTCCAAAACGAATTCATGACCGATTTTCCTTTAATTCAGTATCAAATATAAGCATTGGAATGGTGTAAATTTTTCAGAGAAGCTGTGGATTAAATTTCACTCGACTGAGCACAATACTCGTTCTGGGGATAGATTGGTAGACGGTAAAGAACGAGTAAAAAAAGGACAGAATAAGTCTGGTTAATAATTGGCCTGGGCCGTCCGTACCGGCCCTACAGCGGAGCTTCTCCGCTGTTCATTCCTTGCCCTGTAAAATGTGATAAAATGGAACGACCGTTTCGGACACGTTTCGTGTCCTTATATTGAATTGACGGCTTGATGCCTGGCCAGGCCTGCCCACCGTGTGACGTTGTCACCGGATCCTTCTTTCATAGTGTAGCACGCACAGCGACGGCGTCATTTTTATAGTGATAATCTGCTGCACTTCGACGGCACGGAACTCTGAATAAAGCTCTCAGGGACTTAACACCTGGGTTACATGGAATGCCACGTTCTGTAGCATGTATCGACCTACCACGTCCACGCACCTTATTAGTCAGTCGAAGCTCGGAGAAATGCGCAAGTGACGCACAAGAATAATAAAAAAATGCCCAAAACTTAAATTTTGGGATGAAAACATTCACTTGGTGGGCACCTGCTCAGAATGAACCAAACTCGGATTGTTGGTCCCTTTCATCAATGAGCGTTCAGCAAACAATAAAAATCAGAAACAAAGAGAGCATACGAAGTCAAAATCAGAAGCCTGAACATGTGCAACATTCGTTTGTAAAGTGGTAGCAAGCACTTTTCACTGTGGACAGTGTTTTCAATTCTACTGAAAAATGACAAAAAATTGAGTTATCTCCTCCACTTAAAGGATCAGATCATGAGCTCATTCCCACGATAATTCAGGGGGGGGGCGCTTTTGAGTGATGCGCAGTAACATCGCTTGTTTACAGCAATTTACTGTGTTTCTTCCGAGCAGCTGGTCGTCATCATAACAAAATGCACCGGCGGGAAAGCAACGAATCTTTGTGAGTACTACTTCGTTGGGTGTGGACGACCGCCCTGTGTCGCTTCATCCCTGCAAGAGGCATGGTGTGGAGCCCCTTCTACGATTCGTTCGATCCACCTTTCAACTGCCCTGTTAAAGTACGTATAAAATAGGGGGCACAATATTCGTTCGAAAAAAAACTCCACTGATCCCTTTTTTTTTTAGAGAGAGAGGAGGGGGTCTCGACCAACCGAGAAAAATTTCACCCCACTCGTGTGAATAGCTCTGCCATGGCTTTGTCATCGCTCAGCCAAAAAGAACGTCCCTTTTTCATAATCGATGTGAAGTGAGGCGATTTGCTAAAGTGAACTTATGACCCGAAGCCCTCATTAAGAGCTCTCCAATCTTGAAACTCCCGCGTAAGGTTTGGGCTGAATTACTTAACTTGAAAATTCGGGCCTTGTTAAAGTTTGTTTCGTACCTCATTTGCTACAACTTGTCACAGGTTTATTATAATATTTAAATGTATCCGATTCATTTCATGGAAAAACTTGACAAAATATTACCCCAATACCTTTTTCTTTCTTATGTCTCTCATATCAGGAACGTGACATCACGTTGAAAGGAACGTAACCAAATATACGTTCCTTTGAGCATTGCGTCACATTCGTCTAAATGTGAATAAGCTAATTTAGGCGGATCAGCATCCAAGCGTAATGTGTGACACGATGCTCGAACGAACGTGACATTTTGTCACATTCGTTTGAACGTGATGTCACGTCCCTGGAATGAGAATGGAAAGTCATCACTAGGGTAAATCCACTCTGAAATTTTCAGAGTTTCTGATGTTATTGCTGAAATGCAAAAGTCAACTAGGATGAACAAAAACGCGAATTGTTAAAACGAAATGTATCCTGTGTTTTCAGGGGCATTACATGGTGCGCAATGCGACCCTGGATCTCGACGCACTCAAGACCGTTCTCCCCGACTTGCACAAGCATATTTGGCCTGTAGAGATTCAGCTCTTCAATGAAAGCGGAGAACTAATTGTCTGTATGGTCCTGACGGCCGAATTTCGTCACGTCAAGGGAAAGGCAGTCGCTGGGAGCCCCAGTTGAAAGCCTACCAAGCATGAAGACCAATAAATTCGGCAGGGAACAAGGAATATATTCGTGTAGCTAGAGGAACTCTCCGTTCAGTTTGAGCGCCTAGCCGGCGAGTGATGCGTCCTCGCACACTGCGAGAAATAACTTAAGTGAATCCCGTCAATTTTTGGTGCCACCCTTTATACTGGACAGGCATCTTCGATTCGCATTTTGACGTTCGTGCACTGCGAAGGGAGTGCAGACCGAAAGTCAGCAACAAGAAACTGAAGAGCGTCGCGCGACCGTGCTAGGCGGTGGTGGTGGGCGCCGGCATAGGCAGAGTGGGGATACACTGTTAAAACACAGGTACATTTCTACAAAGAACTGCTCGTTGTAATACAAAGAAAACGAAGGCTTCGCAGTCTACGAAGGAAATCATTTATAATTCGAACACTTTTGTTTGTAATTGAAAGAAAAAAATCCTTCGCAGGCTGTGAAGAAGTTCTTCGTGGGCTACAAAGGATTTTTCCTTTGTATTACGAACAAAATAGTTCGTATTACAAATTTCCTTCGTAGGCTGCGAAGCCTTCGTTTTCTTTGACGGAGTGTTATTTTGGTAAAAAATCTAAAAAAAAAAATAATTACTCACCCCTCACCGCATAACTGGAGCCTTGGGGCACGGCTTTGGACAGTCGTACGACCTTGGGATTTGAATTTTTAAGTTTTTTCACCAGTTCGGCCACTTCGAGTCGGGGAACCCACTCAAAATCACATTTTTCAAAAATAAGCGCAAGTCTAACCCAACGTGCTCCTCCCAGTGGCAAGCACGATGAGTTGCCTATCCGCACGGCGCGCGCAGCCTGTGGCCGCGGAAGCACAGAGAAAGTCGCTCTACACTGCACGAATGAGCGAGAGCACATTGTGTAAAGAGATGTACTCTGACTGTGAACTCTCTGAACATTACTCCACCACCATCAAATAAAGGGTCACAGGATCGTATTTAATTGTTCACACACGAATGTTCTAAACCATTTAATTAAACCGAAATCATAGGTTCCACAGTACATATTAGTCCGTTTTGATGATACACTACAACTGTCAAACGATGAAACTCAAACTTTCTCAAGTTTTCAAGCTAAGGAAATATACAGTTTCATGTAGGGGTAGCCGAGGGACACTTCATCACGCCTCGCGCAGGGGCTTTCGGCAGCGTCTTCGGATGGAGGTGGATTGGTCGGGATTGATGCACTTCGCGGCAGGCCTTGCTCCGCTCGCTCAGTCACCCAGGCCGAACGGGCTTGCCCCGTTGGTCGTCAGGAAGTATGAGCCATGCTGACTGTGGGGGTGAGAAGTCACTAAAATCAGTTTCCATGAAGCACATTGTCATTGAAGTTGTGATACAGTAGAATGTAAGGCGATCGGAAAAGGCACCGCACATAACTGTTATGAACACTAAAGGAATTCGGTGCTTTTAGCATCGTTTTAGACCGAATGCCAGCTGAGAAAGCACGAAAGCCCGCCTCGGGTCAGACGCTGCTTGAAGTCAGCCAAAACCACGATTTTTCAAAGGCATTTTCGACCGTTTTGATCAACTTCGAGACACTACTGCTCCCAAACTAAGGCATATAATGGCACTCCGTCACAAAGGCATGCTAAAGGAGGGGTCCCTTGGGATTGCGAAATTTTCCTGGGGGTCGCGGAAATTTTTGACTACAAATGTGGGGTCACGAGCCGAAATAGGATGAGATCCGCTGAGATTCGTAACAGAACCGAATAAAAAAAGAATTTAAGTAGTTTATGCCATTAATTGCTTGAGTTGTTTCTCGAATCTGCTCCAATACATTTACACAGCATAAAATGCTTTTTAAACCGAGTTATACTGACCTAACCTCCGAAATTGAAAAAAGTGAGTTAGGGTTGACATAACCGATTAGTTAATGCTGATGAGGTCGACAGCAGCTTGTAATGGAGATTTTAAGACTTCTGTAGGACATCCGAAGAACAACTGCTGGAGGAGATAACATTCCCCACGATGTTACATTTAATGTGTAGGATGTTATGAAAAGCCTTAAGGCTGTTACAAATCACCCCATGTTGGGACGATTCGTAACAGCATGCAAGGGTTTGGAAAGCGTCTTAGATTTCGAAGATTACGGATTCCAGATTGATCCAACAGAGATGTATAGTCTAGATAAAGGGCCAGGCTGCTCATCTGGCACAAGTTTGACACCGATATACAGAATATTCTTTTTTTGTATAGAGAATTCCGAAATATGTTACAAATCGCCCCACTCTCCCTTATCCAAATTCCACTTCGTTTGAGAAATCACCGTGAACCTATCAACGAAGTAATAATACACTTTTCAAAAATTTCCGTTATTAATCCTTCTTTTATGATCATCTGCATCAATCGAGTCTAGACCGCACCAAACGCACCAAACGTGGTCTAGACCACACCAACTGATGTGGTCAAAATGGCACCCATTTGACCACACCAGTTGGTGCGGTCTAGACCACGTTTGGTTTTTCAGTGTAGAGACATTCTCTGTCAACCACTCACACGAGAGCGCACTGTCATTCCAGTAACGTCGTAACGTCACGTTGAAACGAATGTGACAAAATGTCACGTTCCTTTGTAGATTGCGTCACATGCTCAATTTTGTGCAAAGCTTATGCACAAAAAAAGACATGATAATTTAGAGTCTGCGAGAGAGACGGTTTTAGTCAGGTAAAAAAGCCACTATACGTTCCAATGTTGTATCACCCCGCAGATCACGGCTATACTTTCACCCTGAGACTTTAGAATCTCATTACCGAGCCAATATTACCGACCCATCAGGCGACGTGGTGCCGCAGTGGTAACGTGCCCGTCTCACAATTGTGCACTGTTAAAAAAAATATGAAAATTCAGACTGATTTCGTCTTACTTGGTGGTCTGAATCGTAAATTCATAAAATTGTACGAATATTAAGACCAACTGTCTGAAAAGTTTGACCTGTTGTCTGAAATTTGAATTTAGACTTGCAAGTCTGAATATTTAGAGCGATGGCTATCAAGTTTTGTACATTGTCGTCCGAAAACTAAATTCATACTTGTGAAATCGGAAAACGAGTGAAAAAAACCCGTCCCCTTTGTACATTTTTCGATTTTCTCAGAACATTTATCAATACTACTGTTGTATTTCAAATAATATTTACGTTTAGTGTCGTAAAAGCATAGAGAATGGTTCAGAGCTCCGAAATGGACACTTATTGGTCTATCCGCTAGGTGGCGCTAGTGTCGCATGGATGATCTTTTGGAGCTAAAATTGCCACTTGAAGGCGAAATTGCGAATATTTTGTTACAAACTTATTCCAAGTGATTGTCTGAAAGGGCGTGAGCGCACCAAAGCAAGATTCAGGTTAATAAGTGCAGTATAAGCTAAATAACAAAGAATACAATTTCACTCTCGCGCATGGCCACGGGTCGGCGCGTGGTTGGGCTAAGGCCGCTCTCCCTCGCAATTCAGCAGTCACCCAGCCTCTTCACTACCTTTCCAAGTAGGAGTCTGCTGCCGTGTCCCTAATTTTTGAGCCGAGACGATCCTCTGAGCGCCGATTTGCCGATTTGTGTTCTACTCCACAGAGTGGCATATTTTAGTGCGACTGTTCAATGTCTTCGTACAACTTAGTCTGATAAAATAGACCGACTGGTATCATTTTTCATACAACATGTTGATCTGAAAATTCAGACTAACGTCGTCTGAAACTTTCAGACCGCGAAGTATGAAAGTTTTGGTATGAAAATTCAGACTGAATGTAAGTAAATCGACTTCTTACAAAAAATTATGAATTTTCAGTAATTTTTTTTAACAGTGTGAGATCCCGGTTCGAATCCGGGATCCCTCCTCGGGAACAAACAATTCAGAGGTTGTTCGTCAACGAAATCGACGTCACATCAGGTTTCAACGCTACGAAATTATATTTGTAAAAAATTTTGGACTTCTTGCTTCAGTTTTGTAAGCACATTAACTAACCAGCATGTTCGGTAAAAACTACCAGAAGAAGTCCTGGCGGCATTGTAAGGGTAAACTATAAATCTGGTACGGTTTACTAGACTGAGTCCAACTGGACTGTTAAGTATTTTTTACCAGAATTCTAGTTGAGTTATATTCTATCAGACAGTCTGGTATTTGGTACCAGGATTCTGGTTATCGTTACTAGACTTTTTTTTCAGTGAAGGTAGTAAATATCTTTTCCAATCGTTATCAATAAAATGAAACTATATATACAAAGCACTGGTTTATGGTCTGAGCGACAGCGACGCCAGTAAAGTTGGATTGGGTTGAAAACTTATGTCAGTGTGTGTGCCCACGCGCGCGCGCAAACTCTTGTGTACATTTTATGCATAATTATGCATTTCTAAGCGTAGTTATGCATGCACAGATATGTAAAAGGAGTGAATAATATTATGCAAAATTTCGTACATTTTATGCATTATTAAATGTACAGTTATGCTTAATATCACACTTTCATTACGTTCTTTTCTGAGCACGCATAGTTATGCATGAAAAGGTCGAAATTAGTGCGTGAGCACTACTCCTAAACGGCTCTGCCGTTCCAGCTAAGATTTTGATCACCACATGCCAAAATTCAGCTTTCTACCACCGAAAAGAAACACTTAAAAACGACAGAAAAAGGACAACTATTGTTAGGCTTTCATCCTTAGTTTTTCATAGTCTTATGCGTTTTCGATAGTGCTCAAAATTGATTCCATTTTGACGCCGGACCCAGATTTGATAAGGCCGCTGAGCCCGCACTTGACTACAAGCAAGAATCTGCATATTAAATTTAACACAGTTGTACACAATTTTTATTAAGTTCGGTTCCATAATAATTTCCAGGAGTTGATCTTAAGGATAGGATCTTTAACGTAACTCTTTAAATCTAGCAAGAACACAGTATGTGAAAACAAAAATGGTATTCATAAATCGAGCATATGTGGAAGGCACATAGTGCGCTGAACATCAGAATAATGATTATAGAATGTTTTTAAATCATACCTAAGTTTCATTACTTATTTCGCGCGAAGTTGCGCAATGTCCATTGTATAAAACAAAGACTACGGAAGGTACTACTCACCAGCCGACTGAGTTCAACCGCAAGGCCCGATTAGTCAGTGGGCTGAGAGGGCGACACAGCCACTTGAAAGCAGTTGCAGCCAGCCTTTCTTTTGTGAGACGAAACCGGTTGCTTAGAACAATCCGCCTCGCTGCTGCGACGACCCCGACAGCACCAAACGCAGAGGCAAGCGTAGACTTCTCTGCTTCTTCTGTTATTGGCGAGCGATAGCGAGCCCATGCCGTGTTTGGGGGTACCAAAAAGTGACTGGTCGTGCGTCTGTCTGTCTGTCTGTAACTCACTCACGTTTCTCAGCAACTACCGCACAAATAGTTTCAAAATTTCGCACCGGAAGGCTCCTAAATCTCCCCCAGGGGGAGTTTATCTTATATTCACGATTACTATTGTTTGAAATATTCAAAACATCTTTTTGAATTAGGTTCTTAGCGTGGTTAGGTTGGTAGTGGTTGGCAGCTCGTAGCAATTTTTCATACTTGCGGCCGCGACTCTCAAATACGGGACCTAGCAAAACATTGGCAAATAAAACAAACTAAAGAGCAGAAGGGCTTAGAAGTGAGTACGGCCATAGTTTTTCGATATTTTAGAATGATTGAAACCCCTCCGGAGTGTCAACTCAGTGAAATACGGAAAATGAAAGTGACAATTATTACGCGTTTCGTCCGTCCGTCCGCCCCCTCCCCTCCCCCGCTACACCGCTACAGAGGAAATGTTTTGGTCAGTGGAGTGTGTTTGATAATTGCAAGAATGATTTGGTCTTTTTAACCTTTGTGAGTGTATTTCCATTTTTATTCTCAGACACTATACTTTTTAGTTGTTTGCTTTGCTCAAATAACAGTTAGAAAATAAATTAATACATTCTATAAGTACACTCTGGACACTAATGTTGCAAAAATAAATAGTCTTTGCTGACTCTTGGCACAGACTCTGGGAAAAGGCTTCATTGCAATGCTGTAAGTTTACTATAGTACTAACCTTAAAGATAACCATACGGTGAGTGAGTGTAGCGCATACAAGGTTTGACATTGTCATCTGATTCAATGAGACGATTCAGTGACTTGATCATATGATTTCATGAGACGATTCTTTTAACTTCATCATACATTGTCTGCGACAACTGGTAATTTGTGTCGCTCATGGTTTTAGTTGGCTCTCTTTTTTAATTTACTTAGAATGTTAGGTAAATACTTATGCTATACTGTTTCAAAGATTAAGTATCACATTATGACTATCATTATGAATAAGATTAACTTGCATTTAGCAAAAAGTGGGCTCGACATGGGATTCTATGGAACGATTCAGTGGGTCTGATAAAAGGTCTTCTCCGTAAAGTAGTTGCAATCAGCCTGCCTGTAAATGTGTCTCTTTTTAATTAATTCAGACAAATCAATATAGTTTCATCCGCTAGTTTAAAATGAAAGGAAGATAAAAGGATTTATAGGTACTGTATTACTAATAACATTGCGTATTCATAAGTTCAACAACAAGGAGATATCGAATGGTAATTGAGGCATTTGTGAATCGTATTAAGCAATTCAATGCTGGCAGTTGAATGTTACTCGACTGAGTAACAGGGTCAGGGTTCATGGTACTACACCGTTAACAGGAAACACACTTAGAAATTGCGTTCATGTTAACAACAGCAGACCCATACTTATTCAACTAGAATTACATGATTTTGGGCCAAAATTTCCTCGGTGAGTCATTGACTCCTACAGTATTTGGTGTGCTGATCACGAAAATGACTTCCAATTTCATCCCAGACCTTTACTTTTCCCAAAATTTACCAATTTTGGACCAAAATTTTCGAGTCGAGTTTTACATAGTTTCCTGCAGTTTTTGGTGTGCTGATCACGAAAATGACTTCCAATTTCATCCCAGACCTTTACTTTTCCCAAAATTTACCAATTTCGGACCAAAATTTTCAAGTCGAGTTTTATATAGTTTCCTGCAGTTTTTGGTGTGCTGATCACGAAAATGACTTCCAATTTCATCCCAGACCTTTACTTTTCCCAAAATTTACCAATTTCGGACCAAAATTTTCAAGTCGAGTTTTACATAGTTTCCTGCAGTTTTTGGTGTGCTGATCACGAAAATGACTTCCAATTTCATCCCAGACCTTTACTTTTCCCAAAATTTACCAATTTCGGACCAAAATTTTCAAGTCGAGTTTTACATAGTTTCCTGCAGTTTTTGGTGTGCTGATCACGAAAATGACTTCCAATTTCATCCTAGACGTTTACTTTTCCCAAATTTACCAATTTGTGACCAAAATTTCAATGTTTAGTTTCCCATTGTTTCCTGCAGTTTTCAGTAGGATAATCACGAAAATGACATTAAGTCCGGCCCTTTTGTTATGGAAGACCCCGTATTGGCCTTATTTTGCACATATTCTTCACCATCTCCTGTAAGAATGTGTTCAGACGCATCGCTCGCCTACTACGCGCCCAAACTAAACGGCGCGTACCCCTAGTGAATAAACAGGTGCAGATCAGGATTCCTGATGAGGAGATCCTGGATGGCGGGTTCGTGGAGCCATGCGTGGATGCTTGGGTTCTTGGGAGGATACACAACCAGCGTGGCGAGGCGAGGCAAGGACACAGGGCTGATTGTGCGCAAGAAGTCATCCGAGGGCTCCGCATCCACACTAAGGGTCCTCAAGGAAGGGAACTGGTGCAGCATATCAATGAGCCCCTCAAAGTTAAAGCCAGGGAAACACTTTAAATCAAGTGCCTCAACAACCACAGAAGAAAAGGAACGGCTCAATGCTAATAAATTGGCAGGGGAATACAATGGCAATGTCACATTTTTAAGATGCGACGCCCGACGTAGAAACTTGAGAGTGCCGGGACAGAAGACGTCCTTTTCTTTAGGCACTTCCTCGAGGTCGTACAGTAACTCGAATGAATCAAGGTTTTCCAGATTCGACAACTGGGCCAAATCTTTATGCGACAAACAAGCCAAAGATCGGAGCCTGGGCAACACCATCAGCAACGACACGGGAACATCCCTATGGTAAACCCGAACTTCTTGAAGTGTATCTGCATGCTTTTTAAGTAACAATTCAGCGAAGGGATCCATTCTATCTCCGATGATTTCGAGTCTTTTAAGGGTTGGCATCACCTCAACATCAAGATTACGCAAGGTAACCTGAAGAGGCTCTTCAAACGGATAGTGAAAGTCAAAATACAAAAGGCCGGGCAAGGAACAGATGGCCTCTGCGAGCTTTGTGAGAGTCTTCGCGGGGGGCTCCCCGCCCCATTCGATATAGAGCTCTCTCACGCCTCCGACAGAGGAAAGATGCAACAAAACATCAATGGCCAGGACAACATCGTCCTCAGTAGCTAAATGGAAAGAAAGGCCGTCGACGACACAAGTACTACCCGGCACAAGTGAGGCCAGGTCCAAAGCCGCGAGGGGCGACGATAGGTAGGGCGTTTCAAAAAAATTTGATTTTTGAAAGGAGTCGGTTTTTAGGGTCATCTAGGTCCCAAATGACCTCACACCAAATTTGAGCGAAATCGGTTGACATTTACCCGGTGCACAGCGCGAGAAAACTATTGGTCTCGCTTGGGAGGTCCCCCCTACCCGCGTCTTTCCGCCGCGACTGTGGCGCCATCTGAGATCCGAACTCTCTGAAATTTGGTGGCGATGTTCCTTGGGGCTTCCCCTATCGGCCTGCGTGGTTCGGGCTCAGACCCTGCCTCACGTGACTAAGCGACAGGGCCTAAAGTGCATCAAATTGTTTGTTGAGGGGGACGGGGGAAGGAGGTGGGTGGTGTGAAATTGGCATGTGGGTCCCTTCAACCGGTGCGCCAGGTAGAGATATACCTAGTCTGAACACTAAGCGGTTCACTTATTAACAGTAAAAACAAGGAAAATATGGAAAACATGCTGGGACGCGCCTGGAAGTAGGCAAACCACGGTACTTATCACCGACATTGCGTACCTCCCAGGCGCGTCCCAGCATGTTTTCCATATTTTCCTTGTTTTTACTGTGAATATGTGAACCGCTTAGTGTTCAGACTAGGTATATCTCTAGCTGGCGCACCGGTTGAAGGGACCCACATGCCAATTTCACACCACCCACCTCCTTCCCCCGCCCCCCTCAAAAAACAATTTGATGCACTTTAGGCCCTGTCGCTTCGTCACGTGAGGCAGGGACTGAGCCCGAACCACGCAGGCCGATAGGGGAAGCCCCAAGGAACATCGCCACCAAATTTCAGAGAGTTCAGATCTCAGATGGCGCCACAGTCGCGGCGGAAAGACGCGGGCAGGTCCCCGTCCCAAGCGAGACCGATAGTTTTCTCGCGCTGTGCACCGGGTAAATGTCAACCGATTTCGCTCAAACTTAGTGTGAGGTCATTTGGGACTTAGATGAACCTAAAAACCGACTCCTTTCAAAAATCAAATTTTTTTGAAACACCCTAACGATAGGTGCATTCCCTTGAGGCATGGGGCGAGGGCCAGCGCGGCGCGCAGCAGGCCTGCATCATCATCCCACACATGAACCTTCCTCCACAGGTCTCTGTGCTCGCAGATGTCGCGGAGGCGGCGACAAACGGTGCGGCAGGCGAAGAGCTCCTTCGGAGTCAGGAAGGCCAGCACGACCAGCAGCGCGTCGTCTGGCAGCGACAGGAACTGTGGACCAACCAATTCCATATTCTTAGAGGCAACACTGTTAGAAATTTTGTCGTAATTTAACGACAAATTTGTCGCTTGTTTTTTTTCTAACACGAGTTGTTTATAAACGACATGATTTGTTTAAAAACAACTGGTCGTAACCAAAAAGTTCTCTGCAAACTCAACAGTGTACTCAGTACACTCTAGTTAGAATGTGCTCATGAGTACACTCTAACTAGCGTGTACTCAGATGAGTACACTCTAACTAGCGTGTACTCAGATGAGTACACATCAAAGCACGACTGGCAATTTATGCAGCTGAAAGTGTGTACTCATCTGAGTACACGCCAGTTAGAGTGTACTCATTCGAGTACACGCTAGTTAGAGTGTACTCATGAGCACACTCTAACTAGAGTGTACTGAGTACACTGTTGAGTTTGCTGAGTTGTTTGTGAACGACAAATTTGTTTGGGAACAATAAATGATTAACAACTTCATCATCAATAAAAAATACGATTTCAAGAAATCCTAGGAGTCACGAAGTCAATTTGGGTAGGAGTGTGGGGAAAGCAAAAAAGTTATGTAAAAGGTAGGGGGTGGTTCAAGGGTGGCTACGAATGGCAATGGTACCACTGGGACATTCCATGTGAAGTCAACCAGGCCTTAGCCACCATGGGCTCCGATCCGGTTCTCGTTTTCAGGGTTAGTTACCCCTATGGTCCCATGAAATAATCGGTACTTGGTTTGGGGTCCGGCCCCCCAGGGGCTGGGCTATGGCCAATTTACTTTTTTGCTAAATATCGGAACAACGCAACTTTGGAGGGCAATATCTCAGCAACCATTGGTCGTAGGTCAAATCCGAGACCAGATTTGGAAAGAGGATGAAAAACTGAATCTTTTTTGTCTTTGAAGTTTTTACGTCCAAAAACTTTTTATAACTTTAAAACTTTAGTGAAGTTTTCAAATTAGCGCTATTTCCTAGATCCTCAACCGATTTTGACCAATCTGGGCTTAAAAGATAGCTTAAACCCTTCCCTAAACGAAAATGTTAACCAAAAAATGTGTTCGGCTTCGTTCCCGAGAACGAGCCATTTTCGTGAACCCCTGCAACCACGTATTTCACCAAATTGTAGTGACGGCCGCACTCGATACCACACTGGACGCTCTCTCAGGTGTTTTCGGCTCAAAGCAAGTTTCCGGGTTGCTTTTCTAAGGTTAGGGGACCCAAGCGCCTGTCAGGTAGGCCAACAACCAGCAGACCTGCAACGCACTAGTGACGACAGGGTGGCCTACACAAATCAAACGTGTGCTTAGTACACAGCTGTGGGAGTATGCTTGGAAGCATACATCTATAGGAGTGTGCTTGTCAAGCATAAATCTATAGATGTGTACTAGGGCAAGCATGCATCTACAGATGTGTTCTTGGGCAAGCACGCACCTATAGCTGTGTACTTGGGCAAGCATGCATCTATGGCTGTGTGCTTTTAAATGGGGGAGATGAATGCATGCTTCTCCAAGTACACAGCTACAGATGCATGCTTGCCCAAGTACACATCTATAGATGTATGCTTGTCAAGCACACTTCTATAGATTAATCTGAAGGCATAGCATAGTCAATAACATTGAAGATAGAGGTTAGTAGTGTCAAAGAAGATACTTTTATTAAGCTATAGTTAAAGGAGATACTTTTCTTTATGCTTTCCTGCAGACTTGACAGCACGCTTAAACGGCATTTTGGCATTAATCTGAAGGCATACCAATAAGATACTCTCCTTGGCCAGCCAAATAAAAGTATCTTCTTTAACACTACTAACCTCTATCTTCAATGTCATTGACTATGCCTTCAGATTAATTCTAAAATGCCGTTGAAGCGTGCTGTCAAATCTGCTGGGACTGACAAAGAAAACTCAAACATGTATTTTTACCCAATTGCTGACTGAAACGCCTGAAACATCCCTTACCCTGGCGTGCAACAATAACTAACAACAACTACACCCACCCCCACGTGTAGATACTAGACAGCTGCAAGGCAGCGGGCGCGCGGGCGAACGTATCTTCGGCGTGTGTTCGTGGTTTTTTCCATTCGCGTCGCTCGTTCGCTCGCTATGTAACCTAACTTGAACTTAACCTAAAAGGAACGTAACTTTAACGTAACTTAAAACTAATGTAACCTAAAAATAACCTAACCTAAAGGTTACCTAACCTAACTTACTTAACTTACCCAACCGTAATTGGCGAGCGATAGCGAGCCCTTGCCGTGTTTGGGCGCTCCGAAAAGTGACTGGTCGTGCGTCTGTCTGTCTGTCTGTCTGTAGCGTACACGCTCACGTTTCTCAGCAACTACAACACTAATAGTTACCAAATTTTGCACCGAACATCCCCTAAAGGTCCCACAGGGGGAGTTTATTTTATATTCACGATTACTACCGTTTGAAATATTCAAAACATCTTTTTGAATTAGGTTCTTAGCGTGGTTAGGTTGGCAGCATATATAGCAATTTTTCATACTTGCGGCCGCGGCTCTCAAATACGGGACTGGCAAAACATTGGCAAATAAAACAAAATAGAGAGAAGAAGGGCTTAGAAGTGAGTTCGATCTTAGTTTTTCGATATTCTAGAATGATTGAAACCCCTCCGGAGTGTCAACACAGTGAAATACGGAAAATGAAAGTGACAATTATTACGCGTTTCGTCCGTCCGCCCCCTCCCCTCCCCCGCACAGTGGTTTAAAATGCGATTTTCGGGGGAATAAGTCCTAGCAAGCGTCCCGTGCGACTAAATGCTACCAGAATTGAACTGAATCATCTGTAGGCAATAGGCAAAGACCAGTTCAAAGGAAAAAGTGGTCCGATAAAAATTGGATTTATAATGCTAAAAAAATGAGAAAAATAGCAAAATTAGAAGAAAAATGACAGAATTGACAAAAAGTGCAAAACTAAAAAATGCTCAAAATACTTAGTTTTAACTTCTAAGCCGCATTAAACCATTTTGTTACTAAGAAAAACAAAATATTTGAACAGAAAAACAATTGCACTGATGTTTTTTCATTTTGAATGGTGCACACCAGAAGCGATTATCCCCAAAACTAATCAATTTGGCACGTTTTTGTGGTGTTGGTCCCCTTGCGTTTCGTGTTGCGGACGAGTGCGGAAAAGTTATCATCGGGGCATCTTAATATACATGTAAGGGAAGCGCCTCGCACCAATAACTCCGCCCCATCGGGCCCCATCGATGTCCGAAACTCCAAAAGTGTGTTTTTTAATGTGTTGAACGCATTTGTAGCAAAAACCCGCCACCGTGAGCCAAACCGCGAACGAAATGTTGCGCTGTGTGCTGCTTTCCTTTGATTAATGATGAAACGAAAAGAAAAACACGCCAACATACCAGTACCATCGCCCTCATTGGAAAAATAAGGGTAGGAAACATCTAAGAAAATTAGGTGAATTTGATCAAAATACAAAAGACTAAAATCAAACCCTTCCCAGTGGCTTCCAGCGTCATGTAGAGATTTGACGGTTTAAAAGGAGCTAAACAAGTGTCAGTCAGTATTTTTATTTCTTGTCTTCTTCCCCTCTCTGGCTTGCTTCCCTCACTCCTGGCCAAGGCCCTACAATACTCCTCTTTCTGAACTCACCCACCAAGCAAGGTGTCACTGTTGCCCAGACTATAAATTGGATCGCGCCTGAGCGCCGGTCAACAGTCTGTAGCCTGGTCTCGGTCTGTGCGAACCTCCCTAATAAACCAGTGAATCCCTACTCTCTCTCGTCACTTATCCGTTCCTCATCACTATTAGTGCCCTACACTACAAGTGGTGACAGCGGTTAAACTGGCGATATTGCGTGGGTTTTCCCTACGTTTTTGAAGGAGGACGAGAGTGTGACGAGCGATTTGTGTGATTGAGTAGTCTATAGGAGGTGTAAGGAGGTATTGCCTGGCTGGATAGTCGTGCTGCTTCCTTGAGGAGCGTAAGCCACTACCAGTCTGTGCAGTCCTACACTTCTCTGAGCAATTGGGTTGACTGGTCGTAAGCCTAGTATTTGTGCTGATCAGTTGACAGTTTGAGAGGGTTAGACGAACGTAAGCCTGGAGCTGTTTGAAACGTAACCACTCAGGAGTGCGCTGTTTCAGACGTAAGCACAAGAGCTGTTCGGATAACTTGAAAGAGGTGGATTAACGAAAGCAGTTTGTAAAAACGTGCTGTTAAGACACGGAGTGAGTGGACGGAACTGAAAGCAGAGCTTGCTCGCGCTAGTTACCGTCGTTAGGTCAAGGGGATTTTAGGGGAAGTACACGGAAAAAGAAAACACAAGTTCACAAGACATCGCTGTATTATGCAGCCTTTCAGACAACCAGCACGTGACTTCTTCGATCCACACGTGGGACCTTTGCCGCATCCGATGGACGAAGATCAACCAGGCCCTGCTGGTCCTGCTCAAAACGAGCCGCCGCAGCAACCCGACGCGGTAGTTCGACTAGTCCCGCCTCGCGCAGGCCGACCCGGATTGCCCGGATTCGAAGGGTTTGATGTTCAAGAGGTACAGCCTGCAGGAGAACCCGAAGCACCAGAAGCTGGCCGAGGGCGTGGCCGAGGAAGGGGACGTGGCAGAGGCAGAGGCCGCGGTAGAGGCAGAGGCAGAGGTCGCGGAGCTGCTCAAGGACAAGCAAGAGAGTTACGACAGCGTCACGTCGATGAAGCAGACGACGACGACGATGAAGACGAGGAAGCAAGCGAGCACGGCGACGACTTGGGTCATGGATTCCAACAAGGACTACAAGCAATGCAGCCTCTCTTTAATGTCCTAACTCAGATATTGAACACGCAGCAGCAGCAGATACAACAACATCAACAACAGCAACAGCAAAATCAGGGTGTACAACAACAGCGCCCAGCACCCACTACAGAGAGCACTAGAATCCCAGAATATGATGGAGAACATTGCTATACGCTATGGAGGTCACAGTTCAACAAGATTACCAAGAACATGACAGAGGAAGAAAAGAGTCAGAAACTCGTGACAGCTCTACGAGGAAAAGCTTTGATGGTCTTGCCAATGCTAGACCAACAAGGAAAAGAAGCAACGTTTCAAGAACTGGATGCTCTTTTGGCAAAAACATTCAGTGCTGTAACATCGCTTTGGCAAAGAAAGCGAGACTTTGAAACATTGAAGCAAGGGCCAGATCAGAAACTAGAAGAGTTCGCTCTACAAGTCGAGCATGTGGGAAGAAAATACATGGTCACACACAATGAAGAAGACCTACAAGAAGCATTAGTGACAGCTTTCGTCAAAGGCTTAGCAGATAGCCACATGGCAGAAAGACTGGCATTTGCACAGAGCGACACATTGGCAGATGCTGTAAAGAACCTAAATAGAGGGTTACTGCTGTATGGAGAGCGCCCAGCCAAAAAGGTCCGTTTGGCTGAGGTCGAATCCACATCAAAGGATACAAGTGAAGTGAAGTAAACCAAGCTGAGGGTGAACAGAGTACTTTTCCCGGT